AGATCCCCGTACGTGCTTCGCTGAAAGTTACTGCTGGCGGGTTTGGGGCCACGGCCCCCCAAGGAATTCTCTTCTCCAGCAGGAAGTCCCAGTGGTAAGCCTGGGGCTTCGGAGCTGGGAGGTCCCTGGCCCTGCCTCCCCAGACATCAGTGGGGCGGGACTCAATTCCGGGGGCGACACGTCCTAGGAGAGCTAGACGGAAGCACTGGGACTGACACGTGGACTTGGGCGGTGCTGCCCTGTGGGTTGGCCTAGGCCTGAGGTGGGAGGGCACGGTACAGGGACACAACGGTGCCCAGGCCATCTCAGCTCCCCAGCCTGATGCAGTCAACACCGGAGGAAGCCCACAAGACCCCACCTGCAGCAGCAGAGGATACACAATGGTCCAGGTGAATGGGGATGTGGGTGGCGCCCGAGCAAGGAAGACGTTTACGTTTAGGGAGGGAGACGCTGCTTCACGGGACCTGAGTTCAGGGAGCACCAGACTTTAGGGGTACCTCCCAACCTTCACTTCTGGGACTGACATGCTCCTCCCTGGGCGGCCTTAGCCCCCCAAAAGAGGGAGGACACAGATGCTCAACCAAGTAAAGGGACCCTCCTCTTCTAGTCAAGTGCCAAAATCTGGCAAATGGCCTTTCGCTCTTCTCCCTGCCAGTTTTCCGGGGTCTGGGACGCTCGGTGGGAGCGCTGGGCTAGACAGATGCTCACAGCCTGGCGATCCAGGCAGCACTTCTCTCACAGAGACAGGTCTTGAGTTCACAAGGCTTCTAGACTAAGAAGGAACACAGACAGCAGTTACCCACTTTCCCATTGTTTCCACGGCCCTCCAGGCAAGTAGCCCCACAGAAACCAGGTGCAAGAAGGTGCAACCAGGTGCAAGAAGGTGGCATCTGGCCAAGGGACCCCCGAGAGAGGGTTCAAACGGGAGCCCAAAAGCCCAAAAGAAACTCACCCTGCTCTGGTGGAAGTGCTGGACCCCCAGAGCCAAACCTTGGCACCTCCCAGTCACCTGGGGCAAGAGCCCTGGATCTACAGGGAGGAATTTCTGGGTCCTCCTAGAGCAGCTGAAAGGCACAACAGGAGGTCGTGAAGAGGGCAGATCTCCGCGCGAGGACAATTAGGGGAGGGCCAGAAGAGGAGCATCACGTGCCTCCTCTCATTGGCTCTTTGGTTTACTACCTCTCACCCTACCCCACGCTTGTCCCAAGGCCTCTGCATCACCTGGCCCCTGGAGGCACCACCCTGGACTTTTTGAGAACTCTAAACTGTTCTGCCAGTTTTGCTGTAGGTTATAATTTAATGGCTCTGCCTGGCCCTTTGCTGCTCTCCTTGTAAACTTGCTCCATTACTGCTGGCCGAGGCCATGGCTGAGAATTTTGGGTGGGGGGAGTAATAAGTGCTCTGTCTACCCACCATCTCTTCCAGTCCTCTTTGTGACTTGGGAGGCAGTGCAAATTTTGGGGTGTGGAGAGGTCGGTGGAGGCTGAGTTAGGGAGATATGGTTCTAAGGTACGCTCTGGTCTCTCTGATGCCAGCACATTTCCCCTTTCTGAACCAAGGGCATGTGACCACCCTTTTGCTCAGCCCCGGATGCTCTGCACAGGCGGTCTACAGGAAGCCAAGGCTTCAGAAGTCTGAGAGGAAGTGCCATGCCTGCTAGAGTACCAGCCTGAGCTCTGGTGCCAGTTGGGCAGGTGGGGCTTTTCAGGCAATCCTGACTCAAGCTCTTAACAAGATGAGGGATCTTGTTTTTTGCTTTGATGTTGTTGTTGGGTGTTTTGTTTTGTTTTTAGTTTTTTTGAAACAGAGTTTCTCTGTGTAGCCCTGGCTGTCCCGGAACTCACTCTGTAGACCAGGCTGGCCGCAAACTCACAAAGATCCGCCTGCCTCTGCCTCCCAAGTACTGGGATTAAAGGTGTGCACCACTACCACCCACCAGGGTCTTGGACCTGAGGTTCTAACTAGTCCTCAGGCAGCTGGCCCAGCAGGGCCCCTCCAGAAGGACTTAAGTGTTGCCTAGGCCTTTTCTAACCGGCCACCAGGAAGTCTGAGACTCCTCTCATTTGGAGGGTGTGGGTCTAGTTGACGTCCTGCTTCTAACTGGTCTCCAGCAATAACAGGGCTGGGCAACCATAGATGCACCTGGGGAAGAATGGCATGCTGTGTGGCTCCCTCTTGAGCACAGGAGACTCTTCCGTATTAGTCACATTTAGTGGGTGAGTAAGTGTCGCTCCCGTGCTCCTGCTGAGACCCTCCAGTCAGCTGAAACAAGCCACCCATTCTGCTGTTCTGCATGTAGAGTCCTCACCTAGGGCTGGGCTTCTACAAGTAGGACAACACTTCAGGGCTAGCAGAACACCCTCCAGGGCAGCAGTGTTCTGACTGCATGTATGCCTGCAGGCCAGAAGAGGGCACCACGTCTCATAGATGGTTGTGAGACTCCATGTGGTTGCTGGGAATTGAACTCAGGACCTCAGGAAGAGCAGGCAGTGCTCTTAACCACTGAGCCATCTCTCCAGCCCCTCCAGGGCAGCTTTAATGCTTTACTGGTCGTCCCGTGTTTTCAATAATCCAGTGGTGATGTTTGCTCAGGACACTGCCTGACAAGAAATGAAAGAATTGGGGGGCAGGGGTTGCTGTGTTCTGGGCTCTTATGGGAAGAGTTCTGTCAAATCCAAGAACAGAGTCTTGAGGAGATAGGAGGGGCAGACTCAGAAGCCCAGCTCCTAGAGGCGTGGACTAGGTGGCACCAGCTAATGGGGACTTGGACCAATTGTTGGCAGTTTCCCCAGCTAATACGCTTCAGACCCACAGATATCACATGGAGTCTCACCAGACAACGATCCCTTCCTGCCTGCTGTCCATGCCTTGTCTTCTCTGACTATGAAAGAAAGTATTTTCTCCAGATCCCAGCCTGAAAGTAGCTTGAGGTCTGAGTCTTCCTCCTCAGCCAACAACAGACTTGTTGACATATTTGCTAAGCTTACAGCTTGCTGCCCTCTCCAGTGCTTGGGGTCCCCAGATAGGTGGCAGAGGGCTTAGTCCTTGGACCTACTCAAGAGATTCCTTCCTGGGGGCTGGAGAGATGGCTCAGTGGTTAAGAGCATTGCCTGCTCTTCCAAGGGTCCTGAGTTCAATTCCCAGCAACCACATGGTGGCTCACAGCCATCTGTAAAGAGGTATGACGCCCTCTTCTGGTCTTCGGGCATACACACAGAATATTGTATGCATAATAAATAAATAAATATTAAAAAAAAAAAAAGAGATTCCTTCCTAACTCTGGGGTTCAGAGGTTCCTTGCCACACAGTATACACCATGTTGGCCATAGCCAGGGCAGACCTCAGAAGTTTCCACCTCCCCTGAGCTCTCTGGAAGGAGCCTGCGGCTGGTCCCCAGGATCTCACACATCTTTCTGCTGCCTGTCTCACTGTGACTTCTCCTCTGTTCTGCCTGGTGCTCTTTGACACCCACGCCACCTTCTTCCCCCACTAGACAGGGATCACACAATTTAGGTTCCTGGCTTGTGACTCAAAGTCTTCTCTCTGCCATTTTGTTTTGACTTTGCTGCTCCCATGGGCTGTCCATTCTGCCTTTTGGCCTTCACCTTTGACCCGGCTCCTGTTTGCCTGTGACTATCCAGCACTTACCCCTTATGGGGTACTGGACTCAGTCCAGCTGCAACCTTGGGTACTCTAGCTGGTATCTGCTAGTTTGTCTCTTCCCTGCGCTGTCTGTGCCTGTGTTGAGGGTGTGGGAGGTATCACCTGCCTCAAAACACCACCCCACCTCCCAAGAATTTGTGTCCAGTCTTGCCCTCCTGCCTGCCCTCTCCCAGAAAGGTGGTCCTCCCTCACGCCCTCCCTCCTTCTCCTGTATTGGGCACCCACTTCCCCAGAGCTCAAACCCATTTCATATTTAAAAAATTTTAACTGTGATTTCTTCCAGAATCATCATGAGGATAGTCGTGCAGATTCCCCAAACGTCCCAACCCACTTCTCCATTGCTATCCTAGATGGATGGTACGCTCTTATGAGTCAGTGTGACATTCTAATGGCCAGTGACTGACCGGCCAGTGCTGTGCAGAACATCCATGTTGATATTTGTTGTATAGGGTGTCTTTAAGAGGAGTGTCTCATGGGCCCAGGGCCACTCTCCACTGCCCTGTTGTGGCAGAATCGGGCCAGGTTTGCCTACCATAAACTATATCAGTCACTCAAACAATGAGCTCTTACAAAAGAGAATCCTGGTGTTGTCCTGGCAGTCAGAAGCATAGACCCAGGCTCTGAGCCTTGTGAATGTGCTCTCACGTGTTTGCCCTGCCCTGTCCCGAGGGCTCTTGTGCTGTTCTCAGTCCCCGAGTTTAGTACTGGCCTTATCTTCTAGAAGTCAGTGGACTCGGTGCCTTTAAAAGTTTATTAATCAGGCTGGAGAGATGGCTCAGAGGTTAAGAGCATTGCCTGCTCTTCCAAAGGTCCTGAGTTCAATTCCCAGCAACCACATGGTGGCTCACAACCATCTGTAATGGGGTCTGGTGCCCTCTTCTGGCCTTCGAGCATACACACAGACAGAATATTGTATACATAATAAATAAATAAATATTTTAAAAAAAGTTTATTAATCTGCCCAACTCCCCCAACCAAAGAGGTTATCTTAATTCCCACCCTTACGTAGGCACAACTTCTCCGTTCCCTAGCACTTGGGACGGTATCTGAGTAATCAAGGTTGTCTAGGGGCTCTCTCCGGGTCCTGACCCCTCTCTCTCTCTGTGTCTGTCTCACAGGCCCGAGTGCCAGGCGTGGACGGGGATGCTGTGTAGGGGTCCTCTCCAGGTCCTGACCTCTCTCTCTGTGTCTGTCTCACAGGCCCGAGTGCCAGGCGTGGACGGGGATGCTGTGTAGGGGTCCTCTCCAGGTCCTGACCCCTCTCTCTGTGTCTGTCTCACAGGCCCGAGTGCCAGGCGTGGACGGGGATGCTGCTGCTGGGCACCTGCCTGCTGTACTGTGCTCGCGTCACCATGCCCGTCTGTACCGTTGCCATGAGCCAGGACTTCGGCTGGAACAAGAAGGAGGCTGGTATCGTGCTCAGCAGCTTCTTCTGGGGCTACTGCCTGACTCAGGTGGTGGGCGGCCACCTTGGGGATCGGTAACCAACCCCTTCTCCCCATCGCCTGGGTGCCTCAGAGAGGCAGTATGGTCAACCCTGCCCTTGTACGCAGGAGAGGAGGGGCCGGTGGAGGAGGAGATCAACAGATATTTGGGAAGAGGCTTAGCCTTTGGGAAGAGGAGGTCGGGTGTGGCAGCTCTAAGGCAGTGGGTACAGAAACATGACACAGACAGGTCGGGCTCAGCCCCGTGGGCTGCACTCAGCCCCAGGCTCCTCCTTGATAGGACAGGTCACTGCACTGCTCACTTCAAGGCTCTGTACAGTGGTTAGTGGTGGTGCCCCTCAGCCCTCTCGAAAAATACTTCATCCTGCCCCCACGTCTGCTCCAGCATCGGAGGTGAGAAGGTCATCTTGCTGTCAGCCTCCACCTGGGGCTTCATTACGGCCGTCACGCCACTGCTTGCCCATCTTGGCAATGGTCACCTGGCCTTCATGACATTTTCTCGAATCCTCACGGGTCTGCTCCAAGGTAAGGGCCATCTCCAGTTTCCTCTCTCTAATGTTGCCATCCAACCTTGGGAAAGGGTAGACAGAGCGCCATACATACCCGTGGGCCTGTGTGCTACCCTTTGCTCAAAAGTTTGTTCTGTATAACTAAGATCTTCATTTGAATGACAGCCTGTGACTGTTGACTCCCGGGCAGGGATGGGTGTGTGTGTCTTGCCATATCTTTGTTATCTGTGTGCAGAGAGAGGTGATGGAGTTCCCCAAACCCATGTGGTTCTCCTTCACAGGGTGGTGGGTCTTTGGCCTCTGGAAAGGTCCCAGGTCCTACACTCTTCAAGAACTGCCTGCCTTCTGAGGAGCCCATTTATTGACATGGTGATAAAAAGGTCCAAAGGGGGAAAGGCTGATGGTTCCCTAAGAACAACAGGGAAGCTGTGGGTTCCTATTTTCACACCCCCAAAGGGACTTCTCGAGGAGTCTCTCCAGACTGGGGTTTAGCACACTCTAGAATGGAGAGAATACTCATGCTTTTCATTTACTTTGAGATAGGGTCTTACTATGTGCAGCTCTGGCTGTTCTGGAACTCACTGTGTAGACCAGATTGGCCTCAAACTCATAGTGATTTGCCTGCCTTTGCTCCCCGAGTGCTGGGCTTAGTGTTGTGTGCCCCGCCATTTCCAAGCTTTTAAACTGCCTACAAACCAAAGGAGGGAACTGTCTATAAGAAGCACAGGTAGAGGTGCTTTCCTGGAAAGGTACATGTATGTACACAGCTCACATGTGTCTTAAAGTGCCAGAGCACAGCTGAGAATCTGCTGTGTAGACTCTGTGTGCACACATAAATGTGTAAATGTGTTAGTGGGAAGGCTATCGAGTGTCTCCGGGGAGCTGACATGGAGCGTGTAAGCATATATGTGCATACATAACACCCTGGGTGCAAGGTAGTTTGCCTGGGGGCAGAGGTATTTTGTTTTGAAGTAAAGTGTTCTTCAAGGGATGCTTTACATTGTAACTCTCACCCTGAATTAGTTTGGTTCCTTCCCTAAATGTCGCCAAAAGCCCAGCTCTTCTGGTCCCTACAGCCCAGTGAGGTAATGGAAAGGAGACATGGACATCCTCTGGATTCACAGCCCGAACCCAAACGGTGTCCTGGCCCTCACTGGCTGTCTCTTGGCACCCAGCAGCATCATTCTCTGTTCATTTCAGGTGTTTACTTCCCAGCCCTGGCCAGTCTTCTGTCCCAGAGAGTACCGGAGAGGGAAAGAGCCTTTACCTACGGCACTGTGGGTGCTGGCTCCCAGTTCGGGTAAGACCTCACCTACCAGGGATTCAGGAAGCTTTCACTTGAGCCCTTAAGGGTCATCCTTCAAGTCCAGCAGTGATGGTCAGAGTAGAGGTGCTTGAGGACTCTGTTGGCTACTGCTAGGTTCCGATGGCTGGTCGCTGTCCCTTGAGGACTCTGTTGACTAGTCCTAGGTTCCGATGGTTGGTCGCTGTCCCTTGAGGACTCTGTTCCCTAGTGCTAGGTTCCGATGGCTGGTGCTGTCCCTCAAGTCTGTGACAATTGCTGCATTTGTTGCTTCGACAAAACAACTGACAAGAAGCAGATTAAGAAGATAGGATTTACTTTAGCTCACAGTTTGAGGATACAGTCCATCGTGCGGGGTAGTCATGACAGCAGGAAATGAGGCAGCTGGACACACTGCGTCACTGTCAGAAGCTGACAGATATGTGTTGGTACTCGACTCACTTTCTCCTTTTGGGGGGGGGGATGTGTTTCTTTGTTTTGCTTTTGTTTGTTTGAGACAAGGTCTCAGTTTGTGCCCTGGCTGGCCTGGCACTCACAGAGACACCTCTTGCCTCTGTCTCCTGAGTGCTGGGATTAAAGGTGTGAGCCACCACACTGGCCCACTTTTTTTTTTATTCAGCGCAGGACCCCAGCCCGTGGCTTGGTGCTGCCAACACTCAGGATAGTAGTTCTACCTCCCTCTCTGCAGTTTAACCTTTCTGGAAATACCTTTGTAGACCCAGAGGTGTGTTTCTATGATGATTCTAAATCTTGTCAAGTTGACAATAAAGGTTAACCATCACAACACGTCTCTGCCTTTCTGGATGCTGTAAGCCGGGGCTCTGGCATGTGGACCGGTTGAACACCTGCTTTCCCTAGGGGAGCCATAAGCTGCCCCACCCTCGGCAAGACATCCCTCTGTGAGCATGCATGGAGGAAGGGCCACTAACTATTACACTGGGTAGACTCCTGGGAGGTTAATGGGGACTTCCCGGATCATCCAGGCCTGGGTCTACAGTTGCTGAGTTCTGGATTGGAGTTGGGGGTGGGAGCACAAAGGCCACCTGTGTGAGGGGCCAACTCTACTGATTAGGGTGACCTGATTTAACACTAAAGGCACAGTTCACACTGGGAGGTATGGATGTCAAAGACACACCAGGGCTCAAATTCTGCAGAGGGGTCCAGGATATATCGTCAGTTCCAGTTCTGGTGGCCTGCACAGCAGTCAGGGTTCTATGCATGGCCAGGAGGGATGGGAGAGAAAGTGCTGCCCCCACCAAGGGTAGTTTACTGCCCCGGGTGCTGTGCCTGGGACACAGATGAATGCCCAGGAAGAAGGAAGACCGCTCAACCTCACCCCAGAGCCCAGTGTTCTTGCTCTCTTTCTTGGCTGAGTGCACAGGGTGGTAAGGTTGAAAGGTGAGGCGGAGGTGCCCTTTACTGCATCTGGGACCATAGTACCCTGGAGTCAAGAAAGAGGAAGGCTGTGGTGCTTGGTGTTCGCAGCCATGTTTTTGCACTTGGAAGTTTTTCTAGCCTATTATCCTCTAAAATATATGGGGGGGGGGGAGAAAGGAAAGAAAGAGTGCTTTCATTTCAGTGTTTCCTAAACTCCCCTTTCATTATTGCCGTTTTTGCTTCCAAGCATCGACATGACAAATTGTATGTCAGTTTGAAGGTCTAGAAGAAAGAAATTAAAAACGCAAGGGCAGCAGTTCTTGTGCTGAGTCTCCTTACCTGCTCCCTAACTCCCCTTGCCCCAACCGTCCCACCCCCAGTCTCCCTGAAGAGCAAAATAGGCAAGGCAGGCCATCTGAGTAGCTCCTTTCCCTTGGGGTTTAACACGTTTGTGGATGGCCACCTAGGTCACTGCGGCCCTCCCTCCTCTGTATCTCTCAGGACCCTGGTGACTGGGGGCATAGGCTCGGTGCTCCTGGACTGGTGTGGCTGGCAGAGTGTCTTCTACTTCTCCGGTGGTCTCACCCTGCTCTGGGTGTACTATGTGTACAGGTACCTGCTGAATGAGAAAGGTAACTACAGCCGCGCGGGCCAGTCCTTGTGCCTCCTCCCCTGTCTGTCGTGTGAACCTTTCCTGGGAAGTGCGAATGAAGACATGCTTGCCCCAAACAGGCCACCAACAGCAGATCAAAGAAACAATTCCATTCAAGTCTAGCTTGGTCTCACCCCAGCGTGAATGGAGTCTCCTTCTCACATAACTGCCGTAGCTGGAGCAATATTACAAAAAGCATGGGTAGTGGGGGTGCCTACCTACAATCCCAGCACTTGGGAAGCAGAAGCAGGCATATCTCAGAGTTCCAGGCCAGCCTGGTCTACAGGACACAGGGCTACACAGAGAAACCCTCTCTTCAGGGTGGAGGGAAGCAAAGGCAAGAGTGGCTGGAATCTTAGATGAGGGTCTGATGCCAATAGGCTCAGTATTGAGGATATCTTTGTGGGTAGGCGTAGCTGCCTGGTCAAGTGCTGATCCCTTAGCCTGCCTCAGCCCTGGATTCTCGTCATATTGCTCCATCGAGGCTCAGGCAGACATGGAGAATCTAGCAGGTTAAGGCAGGTGGTAGGACTAGGTTGAGTCTTCGGGTAGCAAGAAGAGGCTCCAGAGGGACTCCAGGCACGGGTTCAGGTCAGACACAGAACTGTACTCTCACGGGTGTTGGCACCTGATAACCACTCCTCAGAAGGGATGATAAGAGCACCCTGACTCCTGCCTAGCAGCTCCTAACTGGCTGCTGTGTCAGGGACAGATGTGGGGCGCCTGGTCCTGAGAGCTATCGCTGTGAAATCATTTGTTCCCCCAGACCTTGACCTGGCCCTGGATGTCCTGACACAAGACCTGCCTATGGTCAGGCCCTCCAGAGTGCCCTGGAGACAACTTTTCCGGAAGCCCTCTGTCTGGTGAGCTAGGGTTGGCATGGAGCTGGCAGTCCTGACACTCCAGCAAATGTCCCAGGTTTCAGAGGGTAGAGCCGTAGTGTCTTGGGGGAAGGACTGGGTCCCACATGGAATCGGTGTCAGGAGGGACTGGCAGTGGGTGGAACCCTGAGACCGGTGCCCCACACAGGGCTGCAATCTGCTCCCAGCTGTCCTCAGCCTGCTCCTTCTTCATTCTACTCTCCTGGTTGCCCACCTTCTTCAAGGAGACCTTCCCCCACTCCAAGGTGGGTAATGCTACCTGGGTCCTCAGGGTAAAGAGGGCTAAGCCTGGGCTGTGAAGGTCCTGGTGTGGGCGGGGTAACACCTTTGCTGGGCAGCTCCATCACCCTATGACAGTCCATCTGCAGACAGACGTTAGTTCAAGGCTACCTTAGCACAAGACTTGGACTTATTGCCCAGAAGAGCCCCCTCTCTCAGGGCTGGCCGGCTAATCTGCTGATGCCACGTCCAAGGGAGATCAGTGAACACCGGAGTTCTTGGCTGTACATTCCCAGGCAGACCCACTTGGCTCTCGCCCTGTCACATGTGGGAACATGTGGGGAACGTGGCTTCAGGTGTTAGCCATTAGTGTGGACTCAACACTTGCCAAGGGGGCTGGTAGTGAGCTGCTTAAGGCTGTCCTCCCAGGACCCTGCTCTTAGGCCCAGCCTGGTGGGTGGAGCTCAAATGACATGATGAACTGGGGTGGTCTCCTTGCCTGGCTATCATCCAGAGGCTAGGTGCCATTCTGGCCACCTTTGAGGCTGCACCTCTCCCTGCAGGGCTGGGTCTTCAATGTAGTGCCCTGGCTGCTGGCAATTCCCGCCAGTCCATTCAGTGGCTTCCTCTCTGATCGTCTCATCAGTCAGGGTGAGTGTTGGGGGAAATTGTCCCAGGTAAACCACCGCCTCAGGGATCTCCCTCCTCTCTGGCAATGCCACTGCATCACTGGGGAAAGGCTGTACCACAGTCTTGGGACAGACAGACCTTCCTTCAGAGTCAGCTCAGGAATGGATGCAGCCTGGGGCTAAGGAGTCTCCCCTTTAATGGGTAGAGGTTGGGGTCAGCAAGGGGATCCTAGTGAACCCTCTACAGGGAAGGCATCTGATGCATCAAATGTCACAGGTAGCCAGATTTGCTCTTCCAGAGCTCCAGGGGCCACACTGCAGCCCTGTGGGGCAATGTCCTTACAGACTTAGGTATGGAGGACACATGCATGCATGTGAAAGTCTCACATATTCGCTGTGGTAAGATCAGATTATTTGAAGACACTCAGAGGAACTGGACTAAGCTTGCCTGATAGCTGTCACTTTTGCGATGGCCCATGGGGCTGCCTTTCCATATTTCTACCCAAACCACACCACAGGAAACCCTCTGGCACACGTACTGAACAAGGAAGGGTTCAATCCATGATAGGAGATCTCCTATTTTGAGCCCTGAGTGTTGCCCTGGGCACCCCAGTTCCTCTTCTGTGACTTTGGACATCTTCAAGGGTCACCCGGATAAGCTGATGGAAACTATTCTGGGTCTCTCTCCCTCTTAGGTTACAGAGTCATCACAGTGCGTAAGTTCATGCAGGTAGGAAAATCCCTGGAATCCCTTGTCCACTTTTTCTATTGTTGTGATAAGGCACCATGACCAAAGCAACTTACAGAAGAAAGAGTTTGTTTAGAGCGGACCCAGTTTCACAGGGCTGGGGTCCGAGACCATAATGGCGGGGAGTGTGGCAACCATCAGGCAGTAGCTGAGAGCTCACATTTTGAGACACAGTCACAAAGCAGGGAATGGTGTGGTCCTTTGAAACTTCAGAGTCCACTCCTAGTGACACCCCTCCTCCAACAAGGCCACATCTAATCTTTCCCGAGTGGTTCCACCAACTAGAGGCCAAGTATTTAAATATATGAATCTATGGGAGCCATTCTTAGTCAAACCACCACATCCTTCTATGTTCATCCCTACTGTGTTATGGACTCCTAGGACCTGAGAGCTGTGTACTCCACAGGCTGAGGTCAAAGATATGGGCTGGGAAAACTACACCAAAGGTTTCATGGCTCCAGATACAGTACCTGCCTCTGGCAGGGTCAGCTCAGATTCGAAAGTCTGGGATATCAAACCATCGGAGGTCGATCCACATCAATAGGACCTGGGAAGGGGCTGCTCTAGGTGTCCCCTGGAAGATGCTCTGGGGTCAGTATTGACTGACCTGAGAACCTCTGAACATGTCTCAGTCCCCTTTTGTGCCAGGGCATGTAGAGCCGGGAAGCCCCAGCCTGGGAGGGGATTTTTAGGTAGAACCATCCTGATCTTGTTCAAAACACTAGGGGTATTTTGGGCGGGGCCGAGACAGAGTGAGCCATATTGACCAGCCCCGTCCTGCAGGTGATGGGGCTTGGACTGTCAAGCATTTTCGCCCTGTGTCTGGGTCATACCACAAGCTTCCTCAAGGCTGTCGTCTTTGCGTCAGCTTCCATTGGCTTGCAGACCTTCAACCAAAGGTAAGAGTCTACAGTCCCATCCCACAGGGCTGCCAGGTTTTAGTGCATTCTGGCTTAGGGGCTTATGAAGGTGGAGTTACAGTGAGCAGATCTGGGTACCAAGCCAGGGTTATTCATGAAAATAGGAAAGCCCCCCCCCCACCCATGCTAGGAGGAGAGCCCAGGAAGATGAGTGAACATAAATACCAGCTTGATATCACTCGGCAGTCTGTCCCTTCTTTTTGTATCTTGTCTGTTACTCTGAGCAATAGCAATCCCAATTAAGCATCTCAGGACGTATTAGGAGCCCAGTTCAAAGATGTTTCGAATGAACAGACAGTGAGCCTACTGCGAGCCTGCTTCTCTGGCCTTGCGTACATTCTCAGGAGCAGCTTCTGGGGTGTGGGGTAGATGGCGTCAGAAGCCTAGCAGTGCCCAGGAGGTAGAGGCAGGGGCAGGTCTGGGTGTCTTTGGTGACTTATAACCCTCTCTTACGCTCTAGTAGCCCCTTCAGGCAAAGTGGCAGTGGCCATGCCTGTGGCCATTCACATGCCTTCTTTCCTGTTTCCTACAGTGGTATTTCAGTCAATATTCAGGACCTGGCCCCATCCTGTGCTGGTTTTCTGTTCGGTGAGCCGCTTGCTTATCCCTACCCATGCCAGTGGGCTGTCCCAGGTGGTTGGGCTGTAGGAGCAATAGGGGATCTTCTCATGGTGTCTCTCTCAATGTCTGTTCCCAGGTGTGGCCAACACTGCCGGGGCCTTGGCAGGTAAGGGATGGCTCTAGGTCCAGGCTAGAGGTTCTCTTGTCTTAGGTTTGGGGCAGTCAGGAAATGAGCTCAGAGTGGAGCTTATATGGGGTTTGCCCCCATCTCACTCAACCCAAGGGCTACCGAGTGGGATCTCAAAGCCAATGTGATCCAAAGGTCAAAGTCAACGGGGGTCCCAGACTCAAGGTAGAGCACAAGCCACAAGATGGCCCAGGGGGATCACAGATATTTCAGCTGAGGTGCCACTTGACTTGGCTGATGTTGGGGGACTTACAAGCCATTCTCCCCTGACTCACCCCCAAGTCCCATAGTTTAGGGCACTACCTGGTCCCTCCACTGAGTACCTGGGCTAGCAGGCTCATTCCTGCCTTCTTTGTTTCCCTTGGGTGGGACACGGGATGGGGACACCATCAGTGTGTGACTCTGTCCTCTGAGACTCCTGTGGCCCACAGTTCAGATTTTGAAATTTATCCCAGGGTTTTCAGGGCATCTTTGCCTTGCCCTGCTCTGCCCCTGGAGCTCCCGGATGTGTGGGACCAGCTTCCCTGAAGTGTCGTCAGTCTCTGCCTCTCTTGTCCAGGTGTGATAGGCGTGTATCTGAGTGGCTACCTGATTGAGGCCACTGGCTCCTGGACGTGTATTTTCGACCTGGTGGCCATCATCAGCAACCTGGGTCTGGGCACCTTTCTGGTGTTTGGGAAGGCCCAGAGGGTGGACCTGACCCCTGATCATGAGGACCTCTAGCTCCCTGACGATCCGGTCCCATCCAGGACCCTTAGTCAGCAGCCTAAGGAAAACAGCTCTGTTGGTGAAACCCTGAATCTGCACCTCACATGTATGAAGCAAACAACAAAGACCATAGTCTCCTGGAAAAGCCCAATGAGTTGGAGAGATAGGTGGAGACAGCCACCTGAACCTACACGGGCCTGTGTCAGGATTAGGGTCGTGGCCTCTCTGGACATCAGTGTACCCATCTGCCAGTCAGGACCATCCTGCCCTCCTCTCAGACTCAGAGGGACTGCTGCCTGCTCTTATGGAATCTGCACTGCTGACAGGGTTCTTCCCAGTTCCCGTCTATGTGGGTTGTTTCTCTTGTGCGCTGGAAGATGTTCAGAAGCAGCTCTGACACCCCCTTCCAGGCATCTTCCAACCTCCATCTCTCCAGTAAAGATAATCCAAGGTGTGTGTAGACATTCAGCCATGGCCCTGTGGTAAGACGGGCCCACAAGAACCACAGCGCTGGAGAGGACATGGTTCCCGTTTTCCCCCAGAAGGCAGACTGCCACTCCAGCTGGACCAGTGTGCAGGAGCTAGAGGTCCTTGCCTGCCTCTGCAGACCCTGCACAGCCCCTAGTTCCCTTCCTGTGGATTCCTCCGCACTACTGATGTGTCCTGGGTGGGTAGGTGCCTGGTACTCCTCGGGCTCTGCCTGGACACTTCAGCTATCACAGATCCAGGACTCTGTGAAACTTCCCCCTACTTTCTGGCCTTGTTTTTCTACCTCCTCTTTTATACCTTGTGGAGCTGGTGGTTTCATGAACTGATCATGAACTCTCCAAGATGCCTGTTAGAGATTATCTTTATAGATATGGTAAGTCTCACCAAAGCCTTATTTAAGTGAAAGCTATTAAACTATTTAAAAGAAGATCATTGTTTTATTCAACACCTTTTGTTGCATGAACTTTTACTGGGGAGACAAACTTCCATTCACCCCGCGTTAGATCACCAATGGCACACACACAAAAAAACTGGTTCTACATAGCCAGGCACAGTGGCACGTACCATTAATCCTAGCACTTGGGAGGTAGGTGAATCTCTATGAGTTAGAGGCCAGCCTAGTCTACATAGTGAGTTTCAGGACAGCCAGGGCTATGTAGAGAGACCTTGTTTCAAAACAAAACACAAACAAAAAATGGTTCTACCCAAGTCTAATGAGTTTTGTTTTGTTTTTGGTTTTTTTTGAGACAGATAGCTCTGGCTATCCTGGGAACTCACTATGTAGACCAGGCTAGCCTAGAACTCACAGAGATCCTTCTGCCTCTGCCTCTGCCTCTCAAGTGCTGGGGTTAAAGCTTTGTGCCACAAAGCCCAATTTACCAGTGAGTTTCATTGGAGTTATTTGTAGGAACATAGAGCAACTTAAGACAGCTACACCACCAAGAAAAGTCTTCCTCACCCAGCAACCATTGTGGGAGGGCCTTGCGTGGCTCAGCTGCCTCATGTTCTCCTCTCCTCTGTGAGAACATGGTAACAGACTCAGTCTTGTGAGGGCCTCAGGCCATGTCTGGCCTGGAGGAGAGCATTTCATAATTCCCTTGTATTTCTAAGAATGAGCATATGGGGTCAGGGTAGAAGGCTCCATGGGTAAAATGCTTGTTGAACAAGTATGAGGGCCCGAGTTTGGATTTCCAGAACCCATATACAAAAGCCAGGTACTGTGGTGTGCACATGTAACCCCAACAAATCCTGGGGATCACTGCCCAGCCAGTCGAGTTTCACTGGCGAACTCCAGGTATAAGGAGAGACCTTGTCAAAAGATGGAGGGGCACTATTGAAGACAACATCCATGCCTGCCTCTAGCCTCTACACGCTCCAGCATGGGCAAACACACATACACACATACAATTAAAAAAAAAAAGAATGAACACGTTTTGAGGATGTTTTATGATCTGCTCAGAAGGAAAGCAGCGAGGCGTCAGGCAGTCAGAGGAGCTCCTCAAAGACATCTGTGATTCAGGAGCACTGGTATGGATGTGAGGCCCCAACTGCTTAACTGGTAGCCACAGCGCTCGCTTGCCTGGCTATACAATCCTGTCAGCACTGTGCACAGATTTCCAGAGAACCAGACCACCAGAAGTGCCGTAAAGTGACATACGAGCATAAAACTTCCCCATAGTCTCCCAGTTTTGATAAAAGCAATATTTTAAGGTTTATTTTTATGCACAAATGTGTGAATGTATGCTACATGTGTGGGGCATCTACAGAGGCCAGAAGAGGACATCAGATTCTCTGGAGCTGGCCTTATGGACAATTAGTTGTAAGCTGTCCAGAGTGGGAGAATCAAACTTGGGTCTTCTGAAAGAGCATAGTCTCTCTAGCCTGCCCTGTACGATAGGGAACTTCCTAAGAAGCTCAGGCCGGGCTTAGTTCCTGAGGCTGGGGAGCTATACCCAAGAAGACCTCTGCTGACTCGAGATTTTCAGTTTAACACAAGTGAGAGCCATTTGGGAAGAGGGAGCCTCAGTTGAGAAAATGCCTACAGGCAATCCGGAAAGCATTTAATTGGGGCTGGCTTACAGTTCAAAGGTTCAGTCCATTATCAGCGTGGCAGCAAGAAGGCAGACATGGGGCTTGAGAGGAGTGGAGCGTTCTACACCTGGATCTGCAGGCAGCAGGAATAGACGGCAGCCACTGGGCCTGGATTGAGCTTCTGAAACCTTAACCCCCGTCCCCATAACACACTTCCTCCAATAAGGTCAATGCCCCCCCATAACACACTTCCTCCAATAAGGTCAATGCCCCCCCATAACACACTTCCTTCAATAAGGTCAATCCCCCATTACACACTTCCTTCAATAAGGTCAACCCCCCATAACACACTTCCTCCAATAAGGTCACACCTCCAACAATGTTGCTTCCTGTGGGCCTATGGGAGCCATTTTCATCAAATCATCACACTCACCCAATGACCAATGGAATATTTTAAGTTGGCTTTCCTTCTACCCCTGTGGTGCTGAAACTGACTGAACCCAGATACTCTCACATATGAAGCAAGAGCTGGAGTAGTGAACTCCGTCCTAGATCCAGACAATGGAGTATTATCCAGTGTTGGAAAGGTAGGAACCTTTTTTTTTTTTTCCAAAACGGTTTCTATGTGTAGTCCTGGCTGTGCTAGAACTCACTCTGTAGACCGGGCTGGCCTCAAATGCAAACGCAGAGATCCACTTGCCCCTACCTCCGAAGTGCCGGAATCAAAGGAGTGTATCACCACCGCCTGGCTAAGGTAGGGAATGTTGATGCCTGATAATTTCTACACAGAGGTACAAAAGGAGTCAAATTCATCCATAAAAAGTAGAGAGATGGGTGCTAGGAGCTGAGGGTAGGGAGGGGAGTTAATATTTGACAGGGACAGTTTGTTTTGCAAGTTAACAAAGTTCTTAGACGCTGGTGTGATGATTGCACAATGCAATCGGCTTAACATCGCCCCACTACGCTTTTTTAAATGCAAGATAATAAATGTTACATTACCTGTGAGCAGGTGGGGGAGGAGGAAGGAGAAGACACTGACTTGAGGCAGGCTCCACCCCTCGCACCGATAGGATGGGGGCTGTTTTAGGATTTTCTTTGCTGTGATAAAACATGATGATCAAAAGCAAATTCAGGGAAAAGGGTTCTTTCACCTTACAACTTCCCCTCCTCTCAAGCCCCATGTCTGCCTTCTTGCTGCCATGCTGATAATGGACTGAACCTCTGAACTGTAAGCCAGCCCCAATTAAATGCTTTCCTTTATAAGAGCTGCTGTGGTCACGGTGTCTCTTCACAGCAGTATAAAACTGTAACTAAAACAGTTGGAGAAGGAGGGTCTTGCTGTGTTGTCTCTTGACTACTGGGTTCAGTCAGCCTACCTCAGCCTCCCGTTAGCTGGGACTGCAGGGATGGGTCCCCACTTCACTCATCTGTTCATCCGCCTGTTGACAGGTGATGGGTTGCTTCTGTCCTTGTGTGAACCGTGCTGCAGCCCGTGTGGGTATAAAATTGGCACTGTAGGACTTTGTCTGCAACTAGCTGGGCAGTCTTTCCCTGTGGGGGAAAGTTCCTTTCTCCTGGAGGCCCTGGTTGACACGGCCTCTCAGTACCTTGAAGCCGCCTGAAGTGATGCAGTCACCTTCAAAGGGTAAGCAGAGGCTGCTGCCTGGGCGTCAGGGGTACCATCTCCTCTCATCTGGGCCATCAGCTCAGACCCAGGTTCTGACACCCTCAGGCTGTGTCTTGTGGACGGAGAGTGTAGAGGCTACAGCAAAGTGGGGCTGAGTGTCTGTAACCTCAGGCAGCCCTAATCAGGGTAGGATAGGCATGCTTCTGCCACAGCCTAGGATGAGGTGGGCCATGAGAAGGTGAGCGTGCAGTAGCTAGCCAAGTGCCGATGGAGTCAGCTGGCTAATTTGCTTGCTGGTAAGTTCTCAGCAAGATCCTATAACCTGCTTCTCACAGTTCCAAGATCTAGAAGCAGTCACTGGGATGTGGGGTCCTCTGGCTGTCCCGAGGAGTTTTGGGTAGGAAGTATTGGCCACGATGGGCAGGGGGCCTTTCAGAGGTAGCTAGGAGGGCATAAGAGGGAGCCTTCCTGGGGAGAGCTGGTAGAGGTGTTAGGATCTTACTGCGATGATGTACAAGCTGCATTTGTCTTGAAGAGGGGTCTTCACAAACAGGGCAGTGGGTTCAGGAGCTCGGAGCAGACCCTGGAGACACCAGAGTGAGCGGTGAGGAGAAGCTTGACTCCCTTCCTTCTTCCCTCACTTGCCAGATTCCCTTATCAGCTCCTGTAGCCCAGCTAGGTCCACCTCCTCAGCCCTGCACCGTGCACATAGCTCGTCTGGCTTTGTTTGAAGGTTCTCAGATCCTTAGACTGATCGATGCCAGACCCTTCCTCCTGATTCAGCGTCTGGAAACATGTTTTCAGGATTCCTGTTGCTGTCTATGGGGTCTCTCTCCTGTAGGCCTGGAACACTGAGGACATATCTTCTTTGCTTTCGCTTTCCAGAAACAGAGTTGGTACAAGAGTGTGGGCATGAATGTGTGTGGGTGCCTTTGACCAGGCTGGGAGTGTTTTGTCTGCTCAGCCCACCGCCTTGCTTACAGTCATTGACATTCCACTTCTGGCCAAAAGAGGGCACTGCCGGACAGAGCCGCGTCCACCTCGGGATTCTGTGGGGACTGGTACCACCTAGTGTTCTCAGGATAGAAGGGGAAGGGGGGCCGGTCTTCTGCTGTGTAGAAGAGAAGGGACGGAGAGAATACTGGAGATGGCAGGGGAGAAGTCAAACCCAGTCCATATGGAGGCAAAGATAGAGATGATACCGAGGAGGAACCTTCTCTAGGCCTTCAGTCCTTCCTTCTCCAGGGCTGGGATAGGCATGTTGGGTGCCGGGGAGGAGCCTGAGTCTGGGACATCTGCAGTGAGTATCTCCCGCTGGCCAGCAGAGCTGGACATGGGTTCTCGACTCCATCTTTGACGAGAAGATGCAGAACACTGGAGTGGTCCCCAGTGATGCTGCGGTGTGGTACTTCACCACCTGTCCTCCCGCATCCTCCTCTCCACATCCTAGGCACTTTGCTGCCCCGGAAACCTGTCCTCAACCCCTCTCAGGGCAAGAGTAGGCGTGAGATGCTGGGCTCAGTGTCGGTGGTGAGGGCTGTCCTACACCTGGATGCATGTGGATCCACCCTGGGCAGGTTCTCCTGGGAACCCAGCCTGGAGCAAGAGAGCCAGGTTAGGGCTAGAGCGGGAGGCAGCAGCGCCCCCCCCCTTTATACATGGTTTGTCCCATGTGACGATTCTGGGATTGACCATAATCTACGTGATAGTTGTTAGAATGTTCATAAGGGAGTGGGGAGGAGTGGACACATCTCCTGTTGTGGCCCTGG